AGTGATGTAGAGATCAGGATGAAAACCTAGAACACCTTTTCCAGCGATCTGCCAGGAAGGGGAGCATGACACTCATCATCCTTAAGCCTAGGCTATACTTAATTTTATGTTCCTTGCTAAATCGATGTCTAAGTAAATAGCTTTACTGGTGGGAGTAGAGGAGACATGAGAGTCAGATTACACTTTATCATGGAACTTGATATGAAATTCATACTTTGTTGCCTAGACACTGCAGTGAGATGGATGTTTGTGGTAGTAATATGAGGATGTTTGTAGGACTGGTATATGTCACAGGGCTGCCCTGGATCAGATCACATTTAAATACATTGTACGTGGGCTTTGATCAGGGACCACCTGTCTGTATCTAGCCAGTGGAGAACCAGGAGACTTACTGAAGAACAAACTCTCCACTTTACAGCCTGCCAAGGCAGCAGGAAATGTTTTTTCCAGGTTACGGTTTTACTATTAGTAATACTGGTGGCTCTATAATACGGGATCACCCAAGAGTACTAATTCAACAAGGACATCATGTGGATATGCACCTTATTCCTGTCTATTTAGGTGGAGCAGCCAGTGTGAAGGTTATGCTGCTTTTATATTTTTATGCGAGCTGGTTAAGGACAAGCAATACCTGCACACAGCCGGCAGGAGAAAGGTGTTTTTCAGAACAGCTGGAACAAATGTGAAGCTCATGGGGTCATTCTGAATGAGTGTAGCCATTTGTTTCACCTGCCCAGTAGTGTTTTGTTTGTGGTTGTGTCTGTGTGCTTAAAACCAGGGTTGCTGTCTCGTTGAGCCATGACCCCAGTAAAATCCCAGTTTGTGCTTCTGGCTGGAGGGTCGGTGTCCCCCTGACATCGCCCTGTTCCCCACTGCAGAGCTGAGCCAAACAAGGCATCTTGTGGGTTTTGTTGTTGTGCCAACATTTCAAGGCTGCCATAGTAATTTTAAACCCTAAGGTAGAGAGAAACCAAATTTTTAATTTTGTTTTTTTTTTCTCCCACAAAAATGGCCTTGTTCAGAACTTGCTTTAGGGTTTGAAAATTGTAACTAGTTTTTTATATGACTAGCTCATGCATTCCTGGTGTAACGCCATTAGAGACATTGACGTGGCACGGGGCAGCACCCCAGAAAGCTGGCTGTCCTGTCAGGGCACTGGAGGCAATATAGCCTCATTAGCGCTGAACTCTGCCTGGGTTAATGAAGCTCTGCTAATGAACAGTGTTGTGCTAGGTAGTGTACCCTTGTGTCAGTACAATAACCAACCAAGATAAATTTTGAACATTGTTCGAGAGGGGTTTCAAGTGTCCTTTGATATTTCTACTGAAAAATAGAGGTGTATGCAACCCTGCCTGATAATGCTTCTGTTTCCATTGCTTGAAGAACGTAGCTGGCCTGTTTGCAATTTCTGGGTAACAGCTTAACACCAACATTAAAACATTCTTCCGTGGATTTATGGTATTCTGTCAAGCTAGGCCATCTGACATAATCATGTAATTAAATATCTAGTTCTTTCATGATACTTTAATTAAATATCAGACCTCCTTAGGGAGCTTAAGAAGAAGGGAAATGCAGAAAGCAAGAATAGCTCCCTGCAAAGTCACCCCCCAAGCCAGGGACCAAGCTCTGGGGAAAATCCTGGCCTGCAGTACTGGCCTGGGGATTTTGTTAGTGAGGGGGTGGATAAACCCCAGGGTGACAGAACTCGGGATGGTGGCTGCTCAGGCAGGGAGGAGCAGGCCTCATGGCTGCTGTGTGCCAGGGGCTGAGGCGAGTGACTCCCGGGCTCTGTGGGTGCACGGGGGACAGACCCTGTGGGACCCTGGCCTTGTGAGACCCCCCCCGGGGGGCTGGTGGCCATGGCGGTTGCATGGCAAGGCGGGATGGTGTGGCCTCCCCTGAGCTGCAGGAAAAGCTCAGTGAGAGCTGAGGAAAAAACTTTAAATGGGCCATAGCCTGCAGATATTATACTCTCCCTGGCTGACAGCCTTGGTCTGGAGACCAGCCAGGGAGGACGAGAATGGGGCCCTTGGGGTCCAAAGATATTAACAAAATAAATAACTCCGACCGCAGTACCCCCTTCCACTCCCCTCAGCGCATTCCGCAGAGGAGCCGGCAGCACCCTTCCTCTCCCGCTGCCTCCTGAGGTAAATCAGACGCACCACGTCTGCTTCGTATTATTAAAAGAGGGAAATGGAAAAAGAAACAATGTAAACACTCTTACAATTGCTGCGGAAACTGAATATAACCAGGTTATTCGAAGGGGAAAAATTAAGCCATCCATATATGCCAAGTTTGCTTTCACATCTGTTAATGTAAGGGGATGATTTTAAAAAAAGAGAAGTCATGGTTTAGGGCCTGGTTCAGCAAAAGCCTGTAAATGTGTCCTTCACAAAAACAGGCTTAAATCTATCCCTTTTCAGTGAAGCCCTCACACATGCTGGTGCTCATGGAAATAAAACATGTTTTGCAGAGCTGTGCTGCAGGAGGAGGGCCGGCCTCCATGGCGGGGCTGGAGCTCGGCAGGCTGTGTCCTGTGAAGCTGCGAGGGCACCTCAGTCTGCCCTCAGCCAAGAAATTATTATTGTTCTAGCTGTCAGTGTTGTGTCACTATTATCCCTTCAGCATTATATGGTAAGAAGAAACAAGCAGTGTTTTAAAAACTTTAAAGAGCAGAAAATGTCACTTTTTTTTTTGCTATTATTACAATTGCATTGTTTTATTATTATGTTATTATATTACTCTTACTTCCTCCAAAACATCATGTTTCTGAGTTTTAACATCAAATAGTTAGTCTTTTACCTCAGAAAAATCTTTATTTTAGTTTAGCATGCACACAGTTTTAAACTTAAAATATTTTAAGACAAGTCTTGTTCAAGTCTTGTGCTTGCTCAAGTGAATGCAATTTCATGGCATACTCTACAGATCCATGATCCGCTTCTTACTGAAATGCTGATTTCAGTAACAAAATTTAAAACCCCAAAATCATTAGCTCAAACTGCTATGGTCAGGTTTCTTGGTTGTTGATTTTAAAATATTATTCCATAAGAAACACAGTGTTGTCACTGCCCATTATTTTATTTTAAGTTTTAAAATATTCAATAAGTTTGGGTTGGTTTTGGGGTTGGTTTTTTTTTTGGTGTGTTGAGTTTTTTTGTGTTTTTTTTTAAACACTCCATCACGCAAATCTGTCGTGAAAATTCTGGATTCATTTGTGTAAGGTGATTTTCTACACCTGAAATCTGGAAACATCAAGTCTAGAGGTAAAATCTTCTCTTAATTCTATCAATTAAAAAGAATCCAATGCTTCCTATGTTTACAAATAAATAAAGAAGACAGCCAATCCCTCTGATTTTCTGTTTGGAAGCTGGCTTAATTTTTACTGTTTGGAATTGTCAATATTGAAAATAACTAGAGCAGAGGATGAAAGCATGTTCTGTGGCTACTCAAGTAAACTATCAGGATATTTAGATTTTTTGAAGTAGTCTTTTAATTTTACACAGTAAGCTATTTTTATGTAAAGATCACTTTTATTAAGTTGTGTAGATTTTTTCCTAATAGGAGGTTTTTTGTAAACTTCTTTTGGCAGTAGAATATTAATTAAAATGTAAGTAAACAAATACTCAATAACTGGAAATTCTTGCACAGTTTCTCTGACAGAACAAAATGGCTTAAATAACAGACTATAGAAAGTAGTCTTTAATATGTTATTGAACTCTTAAAGCTCTACATTTTAAGGTACAAGGCCATTATAAAATTATGACGTAATCCTCCTAACATCTTTACATATATGTATTTTATAAGTAAGTTTACATACATATGCGGCATTTGGAAGCATTTGGACAAAATGTATTAATTTCATCTTTCATGAGCTTTTGTACGTCTTGCCTTGTGGAGTACTTAGGGAGCATGAGTATTTTCAAAGATATCTATGACATCTGTTCTTAATATTCTAACATCTTTCTTCCGTGTATGTTTGATAGACAACATACTTTTGGCAGTCTTTGTTATTAGAATTGCCAAAATGTTGATATTAATTGGAGTGCCTTGGTTTTCAATGAGTGCAAGCCAGAATGAGCATTTTCAGAGACTCATGTTTGGAACCAAGTTGTTTCTAGAAAGCCAAATGTTTCAACATTCTTTTTAGGCAATCAGAAATAGATTTATAATAGAATAAGGAAACAATTTCTGTTCAGGAACAGTTGTTCAAATATATCTGCTCCGTCATCTTTATTTCTGATCTGTGTATTTTTAAATATAACACTGTGTTAGAACTCCATCCAAGTACCAGGCCATGAGATTTTGCTTTGCTAGATACTTAACCGTCCCAAACGCCTGTTTAAAGTGCATTGATCTGAGTGTATAAATGGCATTTCATTAAGAGATTTTCTGAGACTTTGATGTTACAGTGTTGAGCACTGTGCTGTGCAGTTTTTAGAAGTCCAAGCTCAGAGTGAAAGGCACAGCCATGAGTCAAGTGCCAGGGCTTCTTATACAACATGGGAGAAGTCCCCTCTGAAAGAGTCGTGCAAAGCCCAGGTCACATCAGAAAGTAAAAAGTAAGGAGGTAACTACAGGTAGTCTGGATTTGCAGTCTTGTTCCTGACAGGAGAAGAGGTTTCTAGGTATTTCCTTTCAGAAGTTAGGTGACAGTAATTTCTTTGAAATCATGCCATCCAACGATGAGGTGACTGTTGAGTTCAGCTGGAATTAAATCCCTTTATTGCAGAGAGCCTATTGCCTTTAAGTCTATTTCTTGTATGGCTCTGAAGAATTCATTAGCCACAGGCCTGCAAACTCTTCTGTATTGATGTAAGCTTATCTCCACTGGGGAAGCTGTTATCCAGATTAGCAAGCTTTGGGGAGAGGGAGAACATGGCCTGGGTTTCTAACCTGACACATGGAAGGGAAAGATTAGGTTGCAGTCACTCTTGGAAGCATTATTGTGGTGGACAAGCTGTATAACCCACCTTTTCCTACTCCAGAAAGAAAAACAAGGCTGCAGCTACTTTTTCTGAGAAGGCCAGTGCGAGCAATGAGAATGTATACTGGATCAGGCACAAGCTGATGACTGCATGAATCCTGATGGACCCTGGTATGAGAAGTAAGTGCTGAGTTGTACAGCCCTCCCAAGATTGTGGCATGTCAAAATGCATATAGAAGCCAAGCTTTCGGTACCAAGAAAGCTTCAAGGTGATTACTGGAGTATAGATGGAAATGAGGTACCTTCAGTTAGAGAACTATTGGAAGAGGGTTTTCAACACTACACTGCAGTTTTTAGTGTATGTATGGTACTCAAAGCAGAACATAAGTGGGAGGTGTGTATCAGCTTTATCCATCGGACCTACTCAGGTAAAAAAGCTGAGGTTTAGCCCTGTGTGACCAAGCATGACTACTGGGGATATTTTATACATCAGATACGTGAACTAAAGATCTTTTCTTATGTTTATATCCATTTTAGAATCTGCAGGGAAAAAAGTGAAAATCCCATGCAGACATTGAAATCATGTCTCTGTCAAGGTAAGAGGGGCATTTCATAACATCTTAATCACAGATCAAATCTTGTAATGTGATATTTAATTTTGACTGTGGATGTTTCTCGTATTACAAAAAAAAATTAAATTAATTAAGCTGCTTTATTGATAGTGTTGCCCTAAATTACAAATATTTAGTGGCCAAATTAGTTTGTATTTATAATCCTGTAAATTCTCATTACTGAATTCAGTGATGAGAAATTCCCCCAGAAGCAGAGAAACACAAATCCACTCACAGTCATTATCACCCTGACTCATTCCAACTCTATGAGAATTTTGTATGTGTTTCTCCCCTCACAATTAGTTTTGCTGTTACCCAAACTGAGAAACACAAACCTTTCCTGTTAACTTTGTAGAATGAAATCCCTAGACATGAGAGCTGTAGTAATGGATGTTGTTCTATGGCTGTAAGGATGGCTATGGGTTCTTCTCTGTTCAGCATGGGAAAAGAATATGCTTTACAACACATGAGATACCAGCAAACTTTTTTCTTGAGCTGCCTGAATAGTGTAACTGCCATATGTCATCATGACAGCAGACACACAGATCAGAAAGTTTCTCCAAATTGTTATTTTGAGTACCATTCTCTTAGTGGTGATATTTTTATTCCTGCCATAGTTTAGCTAAATTATCCATTTCCTATAGGAAACAAATGATATGTAAATTTTCAGTATCACTTGTACAGCATGGCTTCCTAAATCCAGTATTTTGTACTTGTGGATTTTGGCATCAGCTGACACAATCTGAGAGCTTTACGTGCAGTCAGTGTGAACTAGGCATGCACCCTGATATACCTAATGCTATGTATCAATCTGGGCATTCACACTTTTGGAACTGTAATAAGGGATATAGCCTTCTCCTGAATGTCCCTTGTATTTTCTCTTAAACTTTCACTATAAAGTCGCTATTAACGCCCTAACCATAAAAGAAGCAAGTGAATATTGATACCAGATAACTAATAAATAAATATACAAGCATGCGTAAAATGTGGCTGAAAACTAAAAGGGCAAACAACAAATAAGGGCCAAGTCTCTGCTCCTTCCTTCGCTGAGATGTGCCATTTCGCTTTCTCTCGGTAGATGTCAGCAACACTACAAACTTGCCGTTTACCGCTTCAAGAGTCCGTTTGCAATTTTAATTAGTTTTCTAATTTCAGTTTTACAAAGGACTAGCCCATCTAAACCGGTGGAATCTACTGGCCTCTGAGACAGTATTAGAGACTGTTATTCAACATCTTAGAATAATATTGTGTTCTCAGTAATGCAGAACTCATACAGAACTTAGTAGAAGGGGCTTATTGCTACATTTTTAGAATTTTCTGAACATTTACCTCACATTTACCCTCCAGGCAAACATGAAGTAATATAAGATGTCTAATATTTTGCTTCTTTCTGTGAAGTAAATCAAAACCGTGGGAATGTTTTCATATAATTTGATTTACTCCTGTCTCCTACAATACATCTTCAACTCAGTTCAGTTAACTCTCTGCCTGCTACAAGAAAGGGGCACAATCATATTCTGATTGAAAGCTATGGCAAGTGTTCTGTTGCCTCTGCTGGGAGTTGTGTCAGCCTCAGAGGACTTCACAACCACAAAGGAAGGATGTGGAAGGAAGTGTCTTACTAAAATTTCTTGTGTGTGTATGGTAGGGAGAAAAAGGATTGTTTATTTCTGTGTGTAAGGAGCATTCATTTTGCTGTGTATTATAAAATAAAGATTTCAAAATCATCATGTACATGAAATGGGGACGAGAGAATAAACATTCCAGTATTTATTTGGTTAGAAATGAAGACATTTCATTATCTTCTGATTCTCACAGGAGGGTCTTTTCCTTCATCTGATCTTCAGCAGGAATCTTTAATTTTTTGTGATATATTGGGTACTTGTGAAGTGTGGCAGATTTACACTGTTGGAAGTTAAGATCATACTCTCAGAAACAGGATCAGCCCGGAAAGCAGCAGCGAGCATCTCTCTGCGTGCCTGTCACCATGTCATTGGCAAGAGCACCAAAATTAGCAGCACTAAGACTTAGAGGTCTGTTCAGCCACAGGCAGTGCTGGGGACATTTTGTGTGGTCTTCACTTGTCTGTAGGGAAATGGGATATGACTGTTTTATCTTGGCTGCAGAGTGTGCCTATGTTGCTCCAAAGCCAAATTCTTCTAACCAGAGATGCAGCCACAAAAAATAATTTGGAGGGGAATCAGGTGGAGTAATTTTAACTTCTAGCTAAGAGAGACAAAGAGCTGTGCTCCTCAACCTGTGTTGGCTTATCAACAACAACACTGAGCAAGTATCCCACTGGTAGCAAAATCCTACTTTGTTTTCCATGTCCTCCTCAGAACATTGCATTTCCTGTGTCATGAGCAACATTACAATGTGTTGCCTTCAAGCCATGTCATAGTATCCCCTTTATGTTCTTGTTCCCTAAATTCTCTATCCCTTCCCACGATCTGTTCCTTTTGGTGTCCTGTTCTTCAGCATGCTCTTGTGCCTCACTATCCTCTGCTCCTATTATTATCAAGTGGTCTTTGATCCTTTTCTGCTTGTCAGTTGACCCATTCTATATCAATCTTTTTCTCAGATGCACTTTTCTCATAAACCCACAGGGGTGGGCTGGGAGATGCTCTCTGGCAGACAAGCTCTGCCAAAGGATTAATTAGCAGTTCTAGGGATGGGTCCAGAACACGGGGGGGAGCCAGTGGAGTTTAGGCCCCCCACACGGGCCCAAGGATGTCTGGGTCTCAGCCTGGGTAGATGGAGCAGACAAGGAGAAGCAGTTTGCCAAACTGAGTATGGGGTATGTGGCTCCAGGGTGATGAGGCAGCAGCAACACAGAGCAAATTTTACTTAGAGGCATGTGTTAGCAGCCATTTGGGAACTAAACCAAATGACCCCACTGTAATCCTCTTCTGCTGCCTCCATTGTTCTGGGCTCCTTTCTTACTTGCATAGCCAGCAGGAGGAAGTTGGTGGCTTTGGCTCTGTCTCTGACTCCTTCTTTGGCTCTCCTTGCTGAATGGATCTGTTTCTGCCTCTGTTGTTCAGCTGTTGAGCAAGTCTGTTTCTTAGGCTTTGGCTTGCTCTGCAGGGCATGAAGCAGGGAATGCCCAACTGCTGCTGCTTTGCAGAGCATTAGACTTGGAGGGTTGGACTTTACCACTTCACCTCAGACTGAAACTGGAAGGACGTGGAAAGATCATGTCCGGTATTTGGATTGCTAATAATGTTCTGAATTTACATCTGAGAGTATCGGAGGGTCATGAGCTAAACACACATATCCGTGTGAAGTTAGGCTAGAGTTGCCTCTGTGTTACAGGAGTTGAAATCAAGGTGGAAAAATAATGTGAGTTAGCTCAGAGTTTACAAGAAGTCTCAAGCAATTTGGAATTTGGTGGCAAAGTGACAGGAAATGTCCCCATCTTCAGGATTGGGCATAATGACAGAGCCAGAAGTACTAAAAAAGTGTAGTGCCAAACACTGTGTTGGTTTTCATTGTCTCCTATGTAGTTTCTGAAAGATGAACTTTTGCAGTGAGATTGGGCATACAGCTACACTGTTGGGTAATTTAGCATGGCAAGTAGTTGGTCCTAAAGTTACAGTAAGAGTAAAAATTGAATGTTCCCAACTTCATATATACTACAGTATGAAAGAGATGTCTAACTGAGTTTAACTTTGTGCTTGTGGCAGCTTTTTCAAGTCATAATTATTGCACTGGTGGACTGGTTTAGTTGAAAAGGGTGGCAGATCTGAGTTTTCCTTTAAATATGACTTCACTGGAAGAGCTGGCTTAAGTTTTTAATAATACTAAGAATATTGAGCATAGCATCAAAGCAAGGTTTAACTATTATACAGTTGCATAGCTAAATACGAAAAACAAGACCATGAGTCCTTCTGCATGTGCACTATTTCCTGAAACTGATTTTCAGGCCTTATGTACATCAACAATAATGGACCAATCCAGCCAAAATTTGCTTCCACAGCTGCTGGCCTTAGGAAGTTCCCTGGGCCTCCTTGTGTTCTGCAGCTGTGGAGGCTATTCCCTGCACTGAACGAAAGAATCTCCCCTCTCCTGTGACTGCTAATGCTGAATGAGACATCCTGTAACACCCTTTTCAGAGGGGCAGAGCTGACAGCTGAAGGCCATCCTTGGCATTTTAGTCTTTGTAGATAATGACAGATAGTGCATAACCATGACCAAGGATCCCCTCGAGTCCTAAAATAGGAGAGGAGGTTTCTGGGGAATTATTATAAAGGTTCATTGCCCAAAGGTCTTGGTGCTGGTTCTCCTCCTCTCTAAGGAGGAGAGATATTAAGCAGAGGTTTAAAGAAAAAATAATCTGGCATATTAGAGTATTGCAACATCTTAGGCGAGTGCAGAGAGCACATTTCTCCACATACACCAAGAGTAAGCCCAGGAGAACTGCTGCAAGAAATGTTTCTTACAGAGCCGCACAAAACTTGCCTACTCTCAAGTTTTGCTCTGCATTTAGATGTAAAACTGCCTGTCGTAAGTTTCACTTAAATTCCTTAATTTGCACCTTTCAAATGACTTGAAGCCCTCTTGCAGTTTTGCAAATGAAACCTTATGGTTTCAAGTGAGTTTCAGTTTGAGCTTTTAACATTTTTGTTCAAACCTGAAACTTAAAGTGAAATTCAGGGGGTGCAAAAACACGTATATGGAAAAATCAAAGGAAAAATTCACAGGAACTTGTGCAAACCAAACTTGCAAAATTTCCTACAGCCCAGGCTCTGTCCGCTTATGCAGATCATCTTCATCTCCTCCTCTTTGCTATGTGGTTGTGAAGGCCAAGATGTCTGATGGTGGGAGCAGTACTGCCAAAGAACTGCAATGTTTTCATATGGCCCACTACTGTCCTTATGGAGACAGCAATTCATCCAAATCTAAAGTTGTCTTCAGATTCCATACATGCATCAGTAAGGCAAGAACTGTTTAAGCTCTGTTGATACTGTGTAAATGAAGCTGAA